CATTCACTGACAATCTATAAATCAGTGAATAAGCTTTCAGTTTCAGTTTCCGTACTTGTAATTTTCTTAGATATAACTTAATAAAAATTCCCAAGTTGAGACTGACCAAACTGAAAAAGATCCCAAAATAATAAAAAGGGACATGCACTTTGTATGTAACTTTTTCTTACTATTATTTGATAAGATAACCTTCTTTATGTTATCTTGTTATCATCAAATAGGGGAAGATTGTTGATCCTCTCTCTCAAGTGATTTGATGATAATCCTTTTTACTTATACGTTGTATTTATGTTTATGTATTTTCAGTTCCAGCGATCTTCACTGAGTATGTTCAGTGATCGCAGAAGAACTTGCACTGTAAATCTATCAGAGACAACAATACTTCAAGAAGACAACACTCACACCAAAGAACCTTCAGTAAATGTCGAAGACTGAAACTGAAGATTAGAGACCGGCGAGTACGTGATCTGAAGCGGTACTTAGTGATTACAAGCCTGTCTACATATGTGTGAAGACTGCTCAAGCTTCAGCGAATGATGATGAGACCTTCAGGTCATTACAGCATTCATCGATCAAAGGGAGCCTTCTTAGCACGATTGTTGTTGTCTTGTCCTTATGCACACAAAGAACAAAACCCATACCCTAATGAAAGTTAGTACGGTATGGAGCCGACTAGTCGACTCTTTGTCCACCAACTTTAAGTAAGGATGTCTGCTCATGAATAATGCTTTTTGTACTATTTACTGTAGCAAAGGACAAGCCTTCTTCTTAAGGCTTGACACGCACTCTAACCCTACCATATTGCATTAAATGTTCATTTAATGCACTAGATATAAATAGAAGTGTTTCTTCTCCATGCAGAGTGCGCGCAACTCACTCTCTAACCCTAATTCTTACTTCAAGCATTTTCTAGCTTAAGTAAAGGATCTTCCTTACAGCAATTTCTTTTCTTGTATTTGCTAAGACTTTGTGTGTAACCAAAGATTGTTTAGATAGGTTTTTATTACCTTATCTTTCCGCAAACAATCTTGTAAAATCTGTATTGATCTTCTCTATCAATATATATTTTAAATTTGAAAATATTGTGTCTATATTCATCCCCCCCCCCCCTTCTACAAACTGTTTCTCTTCTTGTAGACCCTCACGGGACCAACACGTTATTATACAACCCTTGACATTTGTGCAACCAATACAACCCAATCTCAACCGTCCATTTCATTTGATTAATATGTGATTTCATAGACGTTTTGATCGTTTCTAATATAAAGTATTAATCATAATTAATGAATTATATTCATCTTCCATAAATATTCAAATCATAATAAATGAACTCTCATCATTTCCATAAATATCTCAATTTATTGGGTTGCATTGGTTGTACAAATGCGATGGGTTGTATTTGAAACAAACTGTATATATATATATTCATGACCGTAACCCTATATATTTATACGTTGTGTTTAGGAGAAAACGTTAAACAAAAATGGAAAATCACATGTAATCTAATATCTCAAATAGTTCTCTATTTTTCTTTACCACTAATTTTAAATCAAGATCAAGTGATAAGCCCATGTAGTATTAGTAAGAAGAAGATTTTACATGGCAATATAACATGTATATTAGGTGTTTGATGAAATGTCTGAATAAAAATAGATTTATATGTAGCGAGATCCATCACAATTTGTTGTCAATTAATGTGTTTTACCGACACTGAAAGACTAGAAGCATTTGGCCTCCATTGCACATCAAAGGCTGTACATATCTATCTATTGCGCAATGTATGTTTGGGATTTTGGATCATACGATTCCGCACGATAAAGTTATAAATTTTATCGAAAAATAGACGATAAATGTATAAGTTATGACCTTTACCGAAAACGATGCAGAAAAATCGGATTAAACTACAAGAGCAACTAACCAATAAGGAAAGAACAAGTAAATACTCATGGATATAACATGGTTGCACCCACTTCTAAAAATTGGACTACTAGGAGATGACATAAACAACCGATATTCCGTCGGGAAATACAATACCTATGAAATATACTTGGCGGTGCTAAATTGGTCGGTAAACATTATGACAGAATTTTATAACTTACGGACGGACAAGAGTATTTGGTAATGTCTCGCAAGTTATTTTACACTTGGTGAAAAAAAAAACTAAATTTATCCTTATTCATACATGGTATAATAAAAGATTTGGTAAACAACCTCGATCATTAGTGTTTATGTATGTATACACACTATATATACATGATCATGCACGATAGCTAGAGATACAATATGCATTCAAATTAATCATGTGAGAAAGGAAGTTATATGAGAAGCATAAGAAGAGATCTGTACCCTCTTGATCAATTTTAATCTCATGTCCACCCATTAATTGTGCTCTAAAAGAGATTTGATCTGGTGCATTTCGGTGTACCTCATTAGTGTTGACATTCAATTAGGATTGATCAAATGGTGGAAATCTTTTCTTACTCTTCTCACCGAAACCCAATCCTGTACATTCATACCTATATATATGACCAGCTATATACACACTACATACATACATATACATTATACATGAAATCCAATAAAACCATACACATGAACATGGCCTATTATTGCCTACTGCAACTTATTATTATGACCCATTTAATATGTCCTATTAAGGATCAATAAGACCGATTATGACCTAATCAGATTAAGCGGATCTTTATTTAGGACTTAATGGGTTTAAGGGCTTATTTGCACAATCAAAAACATATGTTTACTTGGAGCTTATTCGGACAACATGGGACTTATTCATTTAGATCGAATTCTCTCTTGTCCACATTAAGCCAAAAAAAAAAGACACTCCTGCCCTTCTATTCAATGAACATGCCCAGACACGGAAACAAACCCTAGCCCGACGATTCCATCTATGCATGCAATTCCTTCTGCTTCTCCATTTGTGCTTTGATTTCACTCTACAAAAGGCTTCTCCAACTTTTGGTTCTATTTGATTTCGATGGCTAGTTCGATTTCTATCCGGTTTAACTTGTTTTCTTGTTTCTTCGATTGGTTCAACTTTTTGTTCGATTTCATTTCATTGTCGTCTATGTTTTCTGGAACCATCTAGTCCGACTTTGTTTCTTCTGCTTTCTTCTCATTTTGGAACCATCTGGTTCGATTTCTTTTTGTTTCTACTACCACTGCTGCCCTTCTCGTGTTCATTGTAGTAATGAAACCGTGGAACACGTGGAATAATATTATATTTGTCATCAAGATCAACAGGTTGTTTATCTTTTGACATGGTTGTTGTTTTTAACATATCACTTGACTTAAAAAATAAACAAGTGATCAAGCTCCCGTGTCTTCTACACCTTGTTCTTCTCGTGCTCAGGTTGAAAAACAAAACGGTAAAAAGGAGTACAAAAGCCACTTCGGAGCTTGACGAAAAACTTATAAAGTTTTTAGACATATCATTTGACTTAAAAAAATAAACAACGATATATTAAACAGTGCATAATTCATACTCAAGGGTAAATCGGTTATTTCTGTCATTAAGACTATTGATTCAGATAACAAAGTAAACATTAACACCAATTTATACAGAGAGACAAATTTATTCATACACGATTTAATAGAAAACTTGGTAAATAGCTCTAAGTAAATGTTTGGAAAGAGCTTAAGGAAACCTTTAGCTTATTCGCTCAACAACGTTGAAGTGTTTGGAATCAACTTAACAATTTAGCAAGAAACTTGTTCTTTCAGTTGAAAAAATAGAACTCTTTGCATTCAGCCATTTATTCCTCTTTCGCCCTTCCTTTTCTTTCATCTTCGTCTCCATCCCTCTTCTTCTCTATCTCTTGATGCAAACATCTTTATCTTAATCCATCTCGATCTGATATTGTATGAAACAAGTAAGGATGGTATGATGCTCCATCTCCATCTTTCGTCCTCGTGCCATGGGTTCAGGCTTTTTGTTGTTAATCCAGGAAAACAACATCAATTATGCATTCAACTCTCCACCCTAACGTTTTAATGTAAATTTTGCCACTATTAGGTGTCTCGTATAAAACTGTAAACCAGAAGAATCTCAAAGCAACATCCTTAACCAACAAAGCTACAATTTGAACCATAACCACAAAGACACTCTTATCAATTCGGGACAACAGACAATGGATACAATTATTATGAGCACAACAATTGTACGTCCAATGTAAAAACGTTGTAATAAGTTTATAGGACGTTTTCGAATGTTGTAACAAGTTTTTTAAGACACTTTTAGGAGGTGTCCTAAATACTCATTTTTATAAGACAATTGTTTTTATACTATACTTTTTCAAATAGTGTCTGATAAAAAAATATTAGTAGCACGTTTTTATTCTAAAATTGTCCCAAACAACTTGTTATGATGCCCAAAAACATCATATAATCTTATTGTAACGTTTTCTATATAAGACACCATTGTTTTGATTTACAAACTTAACTCCTTTAAAAAACACTCTACTATAACACTTAGATATTTTAAGCAACCTATAAACCTGATTTTCTTGTAGAATGAAAAATTTTCAACTTAATTTGCATCTTGAAGACGGTAACAAGATCCTTTTTAGTAGAAAATGAAGTGAAATGCAACAAAAATTGTAGAAGATTTACTTTACATTTTTTTTGATTAACTTGGATATCCAACCCGTTATATGAGGCGACTAATCTCAGGGTGACCACCTGCTTTGGGTAGCCGGAGTCACCACATTTAAACCTCCATGGCCATAAGGAGATTTGTATTCCTTTTTGGATTTGAACATCTCCAGACACTTTTGATCTTTGGAGGCTAAAATCAAACCAATCAGATATCACATTTGTGGTTAATTTACTTTACATTTCAAAACATAATTTACGTTTGATGCCTAAAATAATCATAATGAACCAAAACAACAACTCGAATTTCGACTTGTAATTAGAGCACCGTAGCTACTAGCCTAATAACTTGAAAAAAAATCGAGAATTTATTATTTTCCTAACTTTGTTCATTTGCCGGCGGTTTCTGTTGCCGGAAAAATGTAAGCCAAAAGAAGTTCGTTCCAAATATCAGGAACTCCGGGAAGGCACCAATGCGTGCAATCTGAAGCACGATGTGGGTTCTTTTGCTGATCATCTGTTAATGGACGCCATAGTTTCCGATGAACAGTAGGGTGTGCATCTTTTCTGCATTGTGTTAGCTGTGTAATGTTTATCAACTTCACGTTAACCCCTTTGGCTTTCAATCGGTTCAATGATGACTCCAATATTCTTAACATTTTCGGATCCGTTCCACTTTCCCAGAATCGATCATCCATCACAGGCTCCGTCTCTCCGTAACAGCCTTCGTTCTTATTGCCTCCCCAATCTGTAGCCCTGCAACAATGAAGAAAAAGTTTAACACTTGCTATGTGAAGATGACAAAAAGAAAAAGGGCGTTGTTCGTTTTTTTTTCCGACAAACTCGGAATTATAAAATATTAAAAATGTCTAAATGATATAATAAATTGCTTTATAAATTTAAGTTTATATGATTAAACAATTGTATGTATATGAACTCGCTAAAGGGATGATTTATTACAAACCGTCACAAAAGTTGATGGGTAAATTGTTGACGGGAAACTCAAATCAGTGAAAGATTACCCGGAATTTCTGGTTGATGTGTTGGTATTTTCTTGAAAAACACCAGATTTTAGACGTATACAATAATTGTGGTCAATGAGTTTATCAAGGTTGATGCCATACAGTCGCAATTTGCTGGGATTACTCTGGACATAGCTCAGAACACACTAAAAAAGTCTTTTAAGAACACGTCTTTATAGAATAGTTTTCAAATATGTTATATAGAACGAGTAATATAACATCTTATTTCAAAACTTGTTGTAAAACACTTATTACGACAACCTATTAGTTGTAACACATTTATATAAGACAAACAATTGTTTGTATCGATAAATTTAAGTCCAATTAAGCAGCTTATTAGAAAATTTAGAACATCTCATCATACCGATTTTGTTGTATATAGGATGGGATTGTACCTTGAATGAGTTGCTGTAAGGCCCATGAAAAACATCTTAGTCTTCGAAGAATCGACATGGGTATGTACCCATTTAGACCATGTTTCGAGAACCATCTTGTAGGCACGAAGATTATCGACTTCGTCGTACACTTGATTAGGTCCACCCAACAATGATCCAACACCCTTCCTAATATAAAGAAACAAATAGAATTATAACACGTTAGTTTACAAAATTGGTTTTGTAGTATGTGATCTAATCATTGCTTAAGCGTGCTTAAATAGATTTAAGTTTATAGAAATAAATAATCGCGTATCATACGTAAATGCATTGCAATAAATTGATAGAAACTTTTGTATCCTATTAAGCTTTTTAGAACAATATTGAAATACGGCATTACTTGATAACATTACTTAAGAAAACATATATTATGTTTTCTAAAAGAATATAATTATAAAAATAGTGACGACGCTATATTTTAAAAACATACCCTAAAGCTTGTTAGAATTTAAATACTAGAAATCCTAACATTTTATTGTAACACCTTAATTTATAAGACATAATTATAATAATTAAAATAATTTACTCAATTTGGACTTCCTATAGAGTTGACTTTTATTGTAGTAGTGTTTTTTAAAATTGGTTAAATGCATGAAATAACAACCTACTTTATAAATTTTTTTACTATAACATTCTACCTTTGTTTTTCTTTATTACATCAATATACTTTCAAATTGTTTTTAATTAAGGCATTGTACTTTAAAAAATCTATCAATTATAGCAATGGGTAACCTGTTACCTTTTAAACCGTTTAACCCTTTGACTTTTTTTTTTACTTGTGTGACTTTAATGAGGTGATGTGGATGACACATCATTTTGAYGACTTAATTAAAATAAAAATAAAAACCTATTTCAAATTATTATTAGTGATTTTCATTTTTCATTACTATGATTTAAAAAAAACATTTAATTTTTTTGACTTTTTCTTATTAAGTTGCATGCAAATCAAATGTTCTGGAGTAAAATATTTCTTAAATAAATATGCTACATTATTTTTGAGATATATTTTGTTTGTAAAAAAAGTAACACTTCTTATTTTATGTTGTTCAAAAAAATACATATCTTTTAAAGTTCTCTCTAAAATGTTAACGAAATAAATTGTGTTCTACAATTTTTTAATATTGTTATATTAATAAATAATTCAAAAAAATCTAATTAATTTAATATATTTATACGTCAACTAAAAGAATTTGAACAAATATAATATATTCTTTAAAAGATAATATTTTTTTGGTAAAAAATGAACAATTCTTATTTTCTTTTTTTCAGAAAACACATATTTTTTAAAAAATATTAGCGAGATAGGTTGTCTTCTACTAGTTTTATTAATATCAATATATTACTGAATAATTTAGAATTTTTTAATTCACTTAGTATATTTATTAAATAACATATAAAATATCTAAATATTAAAATTAAAAGTACAATGTTTAATAAGAATTAGCAGATACTATAATAAAATAATTTTGAAAATACAATGTTGTAATAAGAAAGTCACATCACTATAGTATATGTGGACAGTCTACGTGGACAATGAGGTGGCAACGAAACATGGTATAATGAGTAAATTTAAATCAAAAGGTTACTCAATGCTATAATAGGTAAATTTTTCAAAGTATAATGTTCTAATAAAAAATAGTTTGAAAATATTTTTCTGTAATAAGGAAAACTGGAAATACAATTCTATAAAAAAGAAATTTATGAAAGTAGATTGTTATTTTGTGCATTTTACTCTTTCTAAAATTATATGATTACGAACTTACAAAAGCTTGATTACTGGTAACCTCCACCAAAGATAGGTATTAAATACAAGTATATCTGCATCAACCCAATGCCTAGCATGCTTCATGATGGATTTGATTCGAATAGTTCGATGATCAAGACGATGGTTTGATGGATCATCTCCGTTCGATTCTACAAGCATCGGAGCCCAGTAGTAATCAATTGAGATATTATAATCCTGTATTGTTTTATCTATCAGTTAGTTACACGATTTAAAAACAACGTTTACGTTCCAAAAGAATAGAACAAAATTATTATATATGTATGTATGTGTGTGTGTATATATATATATATATGCAACATGAAATAAGAGACGAAAACGTAAGACTTACAGACGCTCTGAAGGTGTACAAGGTGCCATTAAGACCTCCCATGCTAACCCTCTTTTTCCCTGGGATTGATGAATGGAGCATGCACATCATTGAATCCCATTGGTTCCTGTTCACTGAATCCCCCACAAACAATAGTCTTTTACCCCTTAGTCTCTCTACAATTGCTTTGCCATCAAACCTAAGAAATATCATTAGAAAAGCAAATCAAATTCTAGCCAATTCGAGGCTCTAATAGTAATATATATATATATATATATATATATATATATATATATAAAAAGAGAGAGAGAGAGAGAGAGAGAGAGACCTAGGGAAGTCGCAGCCATGGGGTTGCCACCTCCATTGCTGAAACTTAGAATCCTTTCGGCCATAAGTTAAGCAAGCTAAATCACCATGCAGATAAGGGCACTCATCTTCTTTATACAAAGGGTAATGACTGTTGTTATCATGAACCCATTTGCCAGAGAACAAATCACATGTGTCCGTTGAGGACGATGATGCAATCTTCAGCCTTCTCTGATGATCAAAAACTTGTGTATTTGTATTTATATCTGTATCTATATTTGGATTTGTAATGGGATCTGTAGTTGTAAGAGTAATCTTAATGTTGCTACTCGTAGCTGCTTCCTGATTGTTATTGTTTCTATAAAAGGTTAATGTTGCTACTCCACCAAGGAAGAACATGACTATGCTACAATGGAACATGGTCTTGGTATCCCATGATCCCTTTGAGTGATGCTTTTTCCCCATCTATCTCCTACTTTCTCTCTCTCTCTCTCTCTCTCTCTCTCACACACACACACACACACACACTCACTCAGAGATACACACAAAAGAAAACTCAAAGAGAGACTACCATTCTAAGAAAGAGGAGTGGGGGAGAGAAATAAGAAGAGTTCAAGTCTATTTATTGTTCATTATCCTTGGTGCATTTTGATATGAGTATTCATGGAGGTGTGCTTGCATGCCACTTTTCCATCGCGTTAGGGTTTGATGATCTTCATGGTCTTTTGTGCCATTTTTTTAATTATAAACATAAGACTGAGATCACTTTTGCATCTCCATATAACTTAACATACCCATATTTTAATTTCTCTACTAAGAGGCAAAAATGGATCACTTTAACCATAATTAAGGGTAGTGCTTGATTGGTTTAAGTTTGGCTTCAAAGATCAAAAGTATCAGGACTTCCTAGGTTCAAATCCAAGGAGGAATAAAAATCCCCTTGTGGTCACGAAGATTCAAATGAGGTGACTCCGTGCTATCTGCAAAGCAGATGGTCGTTCTGGAATTAGTCGGCTTGCACAACCGGTTGAATATCCAAGATAATAAAAAATGGACACTTTTCAAAACCCTTTGCAAAAATTAGTTACTTGAAAAATCCTTTCTAAAAATGGATTAGTTGGAAAATCCATTGCAAAAGATTAGGGCACTTGTTAAAATCCTTCATATAATATAAATTGGTTACTTTAAAAACCCAAATTTTTAGAGTAAATTACATTTTCCGTCCCTATGGTTTGTTAAAAGTTTTGATTTTTATTCCTAATCTTCATTTATTGCATTGATGGTCACAGTGGTTTGTATTTTGTTTCCTTTTTCGTCCATGAGATTAATGGTCACTATTGAAGTCCGTTAACTCATGGATATATTGGTATTTTTACTTCTTTTTATTTTGTCTAGTTAAATATCTTGTCTTTCTTTGTAATTAACACCCATTCACTTGTCATCTCTCGGTCTCTCCTCATTTCATAGACATTTGAACCTCGCCCATCAACCATCTCCATCATCTTTCTCCAACTCCGGAAAAAGCCTGACCTCCACAAACCCCAAAACCATCGTCGTTGTTAGCTACTCCTCCCTATCCATCATAAATCCCCAAACACTTTTTTCATCTTCTGCCCCTGTTGAATCTCATCCTACCCCTACTCCCTTCCTTCAACCCCCTTTTCTTCCCGTTGGTCTTTGGCGTCACCCAAGCCACCAAAACCCAGAAAGGGTTTTACCATTTCAAATGTTCCAAACCTGTTTCAAACTTACACAAAGAAAAGCCAGTTTGGCTTTTGTTTAATCCACATTTCAGGATCCAAATAGGGTTTTACTATTTCAAATCCCCCTTGATCATCGAACCACAACGAGAAGTGGAAAGAAGGAAATGAGGAGTTACAGGGTTTGGTTGAGTATGTTTATATTAATTGTATACAATAATAATATAAAGGTAATATTGCATATTATTATGAATTCTTAATTGAATATTATATGAAAGTGTTAAAAGACAAAAAGCCCCTAATTTATATGAAAGGTCTGTTACGTTCACTAATAGTCGTTAGGGTTAGGGACAAAAAATAAAATAAAATGCAAACCACAATAACTACCGACGTAATAAATGAAGACCAAGGACTAAATGCAAATTTTAATAAACCATAAGGACAAAAATGTAATTTACTCTTTTTTATTTAAAAAAATGGATTGGTTGACTAAAAAAGTGAAATTAGTTTTGATTTGTAATAACTTCACTTACACTACTTTCTTTTCACTTCTATTTTATACCCTTTATCATCTTTATATATAAATTCAATTAATATATATAATATATAATTAAAAATTTATTTGTTACTTTTGACAAAACATATCACTTTCATAAAATATAGAAAAGAAAATATAAATACACATTTTTTATTAACATGGATATCCAACCCGTTATACGAGCCGACTAATCCCAGAGCGACCACCTGCTTTGCAGATAGCTCGGAGTCACCACATTTGAACCTCCGTGGCCACAAGAGTATTTTTATTCCTGCTTGAAACCAGACACCACCCTTATGTATTAAAACTATAAATTATGATCATAAATAATATTTTTAGATGATAAAAATAAAATAAAGCATTAATGTGAAACAAAAAGTCTCAATAGACTTAATTTTATGTGAATTATTCCTTTAATTCAAGTCTTGTAATTAACTAAAATTTTAAATTAATTGACACTTTGTTTCATTTTCATTATTAAAAGATTTATGTTGTTGCAATTTATAATTTGAACAAAATATTATGATTTGTGTTCTATTTTATCCAAATTAGTTGTATTTTTATTTAAAAAATTAATTTATGTCGTGATAATGTTAAAGTTTATGTAAATAACAATAATGTTTAATATTAAAGGGGTGTTTGAGATTGCTTAAAAAAAGAATTTATTGACTTATTCCGGTGTGATACCGGTAATAAACATTTTTGAGTGTTTGGATAAACAACTTATACCGGTGCCAAACCGGTAATAAGAAGTTTTTAAAGAAGTTAAACCCTTCTGACTTATAATAAATTGAGAAGTGATTTTATAAAAAAAACATAAGTTGATTCAAAGAAGCAAATCCTAAACACCCCCTAAGTATCATTTCAGATGTATCGACTCGGATCTTTTTAATAATATAATTTATAAATAGCAAGTAAAATTTAGTTAGATTAATTATGGTAACTTATTTAGATATAAAGATGAAATTGTAAGTGAAATATTATGAATTAATATGTATTTCACCTTTTTAGGTCAATAAAAGAAAAAAACCAAACTAACCTATTTTTGAAGAGAGTTTTCTGAAATTAAAGTGCCATTTATTAAACGCTTATCCGGTAAGTACTTACTGAACAATTTTTCTCACCGAATGGACATGACAAGGGGCAAGAATCTTACCCGGTAAAAGCGATGATAAGAATGGAGAGTCTTACCCGGTAAGTGAGCGTGACGACTCTTACCCGGATAAACGCTTACCAGGTAAATTGTTGCATAAATACGTTTTGATGTACTATAATTTTACCCAATAAAATAAATTATAGTGTTGACTCCTAATGATAAACGCGTACCATGTAAGTATTTAGATAAACGATTCCTAATACATTTTTGTAAAGAAATTTTGCTTATGAAAAACAACTACCATTTAAGACACAGAAACCAAACAAGATTGGATCTACTGTATATTTATGTATCTTGAATGGAGCTCCCACCACATAATTATTGGATCATGCTTTAAAAGTATGAATCTTAAACGGTGTTTGATTGGTTTGATCTTGGGCTCTAAAATCAAAAGTGTCTAAAGGTCTCAGGTTCAAATTCAAAGAAGAATAAAACCCCCTTATGGTCACGGAGGTTCAAATGCAGTGACTCCGGACTACCCACAAAATAGGTGGTCGACCTGAAATTAGTCGGCTCGCATAGCAGATTAGATATCCAGGTTAATAAAAAAAATATGAACCCTCATGAATTAAACCAATATGTATCATTGGTTTCGATGTTTACCTATCAAGTGTAATACAAATGTAGAGGTCGTTTCGATTACAAAACTCAAGCATTAATATAAACCGATCTAAACCGTTAATCTAGTCTAATGAATATCTTATTCAACAAATATCTCAATTATTTTTACTACAAGACATTGATCATAATAAATGAACTCCGAAAATTTTTCATAAATATTCAAATTATAATAAATAATCTCTCATCAATTTTATGAATATCTAATAATTGATTTTATAAAAGATCTCTTCTCTACAAATATAATACAATACAAGTGAATTCTAGCAATTAGGGTTTCTTTAAAAAACCATCTTGCCAACATGATTATATGACATGTATAGTTTATTTATACGGTTAATTAAGTAACATATAAAACAATGTTGTTCCTTTTTAATACAAGTGTTTGTAATTATCTTAGCGCGTAACAAGTACAAGTCATTACACAATATCAGTAACTTTTAAAAATACTGATGTTTCTAATAAATGCAATTCAATCATATGATTATGCATGTACCTCCTCAAGGGTCTAATCCATATCATATGGTTATTTAACTTCAGCAACTAGTTAAAATTGTATTGTAACTTTAAATATTGTTACTATTTCAAATAAAAACAAAATACTGATTTATATATTTTATATTCAGATAGAATATATAAGGTTTGGTTTTCACGTGAGATAAAGTTGTTTTTGTAAGACACGTGAGACACAATTTTTACACTTGAAACTTTATAATAAAATGTTATGAAGGTAAAAAGAAGCCGAATTTTCACAGTAAAAACATTGTGAATGTTACTTTCATAGTGTTTTGCTGTGAAGTTTCAAGTGTAAAAATCATGTCTCATAAAAACAACTTTGTCTCATATGATCTCAAGTCTATATATATATATTCACACACACAATTCTCAACATTTGGATTAGATCTACAATCTGAGCATTCATAATCACAAAATTGTCACGAAACTTCTCAATAATCACAAATTGTCACCGTGCAACTTTAGAACCATTAGATCATTAGCTTATAAAGTTGATCAATGAATATAAATTGGACCCAACCCTATATACACATACATAAAAGATGACGGAGTGTATAATAGGTGACGGGTTACGTACTCATCCCCGTTTTCAAGTTATTATTGGATCTCGTTTTCAAGTTATTATTGGATCTCGCATTGTAACATTTAGATAAGGACTTGTTCGTTAAGCAAGGGAATTATGAATGTACCTTGGATCACGAGTGAAGTTTCAATTTTAGTTCTTTACTTCAGAAATTTTGAAATCTACCACCAAAATTTTCCAAATATGCAAGAAAAGCCCCTTGACTTTTAGGAATTTATGTTAGGTAATCAAGCACATGAAACGATCACAATTGAAAGGGCAATATGTTAGGTAAGATGTATCCTTTATGTGTATATTAAGTTTTCTTTTATAACGTAAAAGTAACGACTGTTATTTTATCAGGTATACAGAACA